TTGGGCTTGCCAAAGCTCCTGGCTCTAATTCTTATTTCCTCCCTTGGATTTGGGGCATGATAGATTATAGCTTCTCATTCAGAGAGCAGATGGCTCAGTCTGGAGCTCAGAGTGAATTTTTCAATGAAGTACTGGGGATGAGGCGGAGAGGGTACATTTCAGCTGGAAGTAGCTCACAGTCCTGCTGTACCAGGCTCCGGAGTTCTGGCTAGGGTCTTTGTGAGTTTAGGTTAGTCACCCCTCTCCCAGTGACGCCCTCCTCCCAGTCACCGTCAGGAACCTGGAAGGGTCAGGGTTAGAGGATCCCTCCCAGCTGCAGCACTGGCTCCTGACACAGCAGGTCACTGATTGCTGCAGCTAGTGAGTCACCCTCCGTCTCGTATGCAAATAACCAACTCTTCTTTCCTAAGCAAAATTTGTTTAGAAATGTAAGAAACACCCCCAAAAGGCAAAATATCTGGTATCCACTATCAATTAAACCTTCTTGTGTAAAGTGGAGGAGGCCAAGAGATTAAACCATGGCTTTCAACAGAGAAGCCTAATGTCAAGCTTAAAAGGATTTCTTTAAGCATAGTTATGACTGGCAAGATTGTGTTCTCTAAATTGCTAGCATTCTCTACATTCTTGATTGAAGCAATGTTTCACATAGCTCTTTAAAAGCTTTGAAATAAGCTTCATGGAATTTTCAGTGGACAACAATTTCAATTCTAAATAACACATAATGGCGAGTAATTTTAAAAGCAAAAACATGACAACATAACAGCAGTCATTTTTGTCACAATAGAAACACTTGTATTATAATACTTAAAGCAAATATAAACATTAATAAACTGAGCAGTCACAAAGCTTCTAATTCTTTTCTTAAGCTTAGGTTGTGTCAGTAATTAATGAGAGGATCCAACAATTACCTAGTGTTAAGCATCTCAAAAACTTTTAGCTGTAAGGGCTGTGGGGTAGATCGATACTTTGTTGAGTCATCTTTTACAGAAATACAAACTGAGCTCAAGAGGTTCAACACTAGTAACTGAAAATGCATTCAGGTGTCCCAACTCATACAGTTTTATGCAAGAGTCTTCACTTGATCTTAGCCAAAAGGCCGAGAAGCGATTTTTTGCATGAGTCTAAATCTCACTGCTTTATTTCTTTGAGCCAAGATCCCTTGATGGGATGTTCATGTTATTTATTCAATAATTATCTAGGCTGGACCAAGCAATAATTCATTTAAGCTGTTATCTCAATATAGCAATGGAAAATATGGGAAAAAATCTTCCTGTTCTCATGCAGCTTACATTTACTGAAGCAATACACACACGAGACAAGGTGATAAATACATGTGCTGTTGGAAGGACAGGGGATGGTGAATTCTGTGTAAAAAAACTGAAGCAGCATCAAAGAAATCAGGAGGACAGGGGCAGGTGGGAGAACTTTTAAAACAGGGTTGAAATAACATCGTTATCTAGGTAAATAAAGGCAAGAATAATCTTTGTAGACAGTGTTACACATTAAATAGATAATGCTGACAAAACTACTTTTGGTGTAACCGGCTATCTTGTTTATGCCTCTTGCAAAAACAATTTATCTTTTATATTTACATTTTATTTTATTTTGCCCAATTAAACACTTGACCACATTTCTTGCAGCAATGCAGGGAAAAAACAATCAGCAACTTTGTATGTGTGTCTCAATTGTTATCAGCCCCATTGTCTGTATTATTTAAAGAAAAACATCTCTTTGCCCTAACATATTTTTATCATAATATTATGTTATCATTGTAAAACTTCATGGTTTTTAAGAGAATCTTCCTTTGGCTTTCCACAGCGGGCTCCATGAAGGAGGAAACTGCCCTGTAATCACGTGCAGTGGTTCTCTAAGGAAGGCAGCGGAAAGAGTGATGTCAGAGCCCTGTGACCAAGCCCTCCTCAGAGACTGTTTTTCCCTCCAGACCCTCAGCTCCTCCTCTCAATGAACTCAAAGCCCAGAACTGTAGAATGTGATCAATAAAAGACCACCAGGCTGTGTTCTGTCCAGGGAGGAGTCTGCCTTTGCTTAATCAATGAAATGGAGAAGTCAAGTTATTGCACTTCATTTTCTTCTTTCTTTCTTTCTCTTTCTTTCTTTCTTTCCCTCTTAGTTTTCATTGAGACTTGGCCAGCAGGTGTAACCGGGCACCTTGTTCCCTGGGGGATCTGACCCCTCCTTGCCCTCCTCCCTCTACTCCAGTCCTGCCCAGAGCTGTGACAGCAAACACTTTCCAGAGTGAGCTTCTTTGACACCTAGATGAAAAATAATCTGCTCCCCCTTCCACCCAGGGGAAGTCTCCTCCTCCTGTCCAGTGACCTACATGGCAGACCATACACAAATGGGATTTTAGGTGGAAGACTGGCCTCGCTCTGCTGTTTCTAGTGTTTTGCAAAAAAAAAAAATAATAATAATAAGAAGAAGAAGAAATATGTATTTTTAAGCCACTTCTGCATATCTGCCACATTTTTATTTATGAAAATCCTAAAAATAAAATTCTATGTAGTATTTGCAGGACTAAGGGGTCATCAACCAATGTATTTCATAGTGGATGTACCTGCATGATTAAATCATTTATGATTTTTATTATCCTTTCTTGATATAATTTTTCACTTCATAAGACTTTTATAATTAGAGAAGAAAATGTTATATGTGTTCAAAAACTGTTTTTACACATTTTAACTGTAGTTGAAATGTTATGAAACTAATAGTGCAAATTGTCACATGTACATTGTGTATAATAAACTATATTTTTATGATATTTTACAACAAAATTTAATTTTCTCAGTGTTTCAGAACACAATATGTGGTGTATAAAAATATTAAGTTTTTCTCCCTTCAATATACACCTAAAGATAAGATGAATCGGGATCCTATAAGAATTCCAACGTTTAGAAATTTCTCTTTTGAAGATATGAAACCAAACTAATTAGAACTTGAGTCAGCATTAACCTCTTCAATGCTACACAAGAAACAAATGACAGCAATGAGCCTGCACCCCCCACCCCCCATCAGGAAAATCTGCTTATTGACCTCCGAGTGTTCCAAAGGGGAAAACCTGCAGCTTTCCTGTTACTGTTTCCCAGCAGGCCAATTTTAGCATTTTAGTATTTGGCAAGCTGAATATTTTGACTGTGAAACAACCCTTAAAGGCATGGGCATTATATTTCCATTTGAAATCATTTTGAGTTTCTTGTATCATCGTTTTCTGATAAATTGTTTGTTGGACTTTGTCTCGTGAATTAAAAATACTTCACACACATGTGTATAGAAAATTTCAGGAATCTGTTTTGTTTTAGAAGATAATTTTGAGGAAGACAGAACACATGATACATTTGAGATTTTTGAACCCAAAACGTAACGTGTTCTGTCAGTAATATTCAGTAGAGTGAGGGCTGTCTTAAATGATCCTGCCTAATATGTTTTTTTCTTTAATTTATCACATCCATCCCTTTGTGATCTTCATAGCTAATCACTGTCCCCTAAAATTGATTCATTTAAGAGAGAGAATATTTGCCTCCTGCTTGGTCTGAACGCGAACCGCCCTTGTTAGGTAGGATTCCCAATTCACCCCACGCTCTACGCCACACCTTGCGGAACTATCCAGAAAGCCTCGCAGTAGGCTCATAAAACCTAAAAAAAATTCCCAAGAGCTCTTGCCCAGGGCCTGGAGACTCTGAGGAGCCTTGGGTGGGAAGACAGCAGTGACCGGGACGTAAGGGAAGGAGCGGGACTGGGCGCGGGCCCGGGGGCCTCGGGACTGGTCTTCCTCGGGGTGAGGTGACTTGGGGCGGGACGGCGGGCGGCAGTGCGGGTCCGGGGTCTAAAGAGGACGGAGCTGGCGTCTTTATTTAGGGTCTTTAAGTAGCAAGACCTGAGGGGCTGGGCGGGTAGCGGAGCATCTCTGGGTTCCGCTGTCACCAAAGCGCGCCCGCACCTGCCCGGCGGCGTCCGCAGGTG